CCCCAAAACCCCAAAACCCCAAAACCCCAAAACCCCAAAACCCCTTAAAAATTTCTAAATATTGTAATAATTTTTTACTCAGAATTCCTTAGAAATCGTCGCTATGAATACTGAACGTATTTGAGCATCACCTCCTCAGGTAATCCACACTAGCCTGATATCGAAAGAAGAGAAGCCTTTTAGGCCAGTCAGAAGAAATCCGACTCCTTACAAAGATGTTCTGAAGAGACCTCTTCTAGATTATCAAGAAATACTTGACTCAAAAATGAGTCATGAAGAGCTAACCTCAAGATTGGAAGACTTGCTTGGCCATATAAAGAAAGTAGACTCTCTTCCTTGTAGTAAGCTCTATCTGAGTCCTTCTCCATGCCAATCTCGCCAAGAGGTTGTCATGGGCTCTAATCAGAACAATGGGGATTATCTTGAAGAAAATTCTCGTTTAAATGTTAAAACTGGGAAGTCTGACGAAGAGTATACTTCAGAAGTAGATCCTAAAGGAAAGATATCAGTTTTACAAAGTCAGCAGGACCAGTTCAATTTTACTCCATCTGCAAAGCAGAATTCACCAGAAATCCAGGATGAAAACTCAAAAATATTTGATGAACAGAAGGAAATAAATGACTTCAGGAGAAGCTCTGGCATGAGATGTCCTACTCCTGTAGAGAGGTCCATCAGAACTCCTAGTACGATCCAAGTACAACTCCTAGATTCACCTTTCCAAAGGTATTTACACCCATTGTCTAATTTTAGTGAGCAGAATACAGGATCTTGCCCAGATCCTGGTATAGCTAAGACAGTTGAACTGATAATGCAAAAGAGAAATGAACAGCTAAATGGGAGCCCAGCTACTCAGCCTAAGTCAAGCTGTAGCTATTTCCTGACAATGTTCCTAACAGTCTTATTTATTGGGCTGCTCTGTATGGTAATTTGGACCAATCCTTTGAAGCAACCACAAATCACTATAACACCTGAATGTTCGTTCGAATTTGACCAGAACGTAATAGAAGACCTTACTGTTCAGATAAAGAATCTGAACTCTCAATTAGAAGCTGCTCGTTCAGAAAATATTTTACTTGAGAGCAAACTAATAACCTCAGAGAAAGACAAACAGGCACTTATAGAAACAATGAATTCTCATATAAACCTTCTTGAGGCAGAAGTCCTCTAATTGATTTCATACTCAATTGGCTTATTTCAATCTCAATTTTTAAGATAGGGGTTTTGGGGTTTTGGGGTTTTGGGGTTTTGGGG